TTCCTGGGTGACTTCTACATCTTCAGATTCTTATACAAATTAGACACCAATGGGCCTTCCCTCTGTTTTCACTAAGACTTCACCAAGAAGACATATGAGACAGAATCCTCCATGCTCTCTGTGATAGAGACACTGCTAACAGAATCTTACTTCCCACAAAAGTAAATTGAGCTGGGAGTGGGGACTGGACAAATAGAGACTAGTAGTTGGACAAAAACCAGGAAATGAGTAAGAGGTGAAGAGAAGCCTAAGAGTGCTCACCTGGTTGCAGACAGGCTTGTACTTGAGGCCTGGCTTGTTCAGGATCTTCTCCAGCTGCCTTCGGTTGAAGTTGGACACCCCAATGGACTTGGCCAATCCTGCATCCTTACACTTCTCCATGGCCTAGGGGGAAGAGTTTGTGAAGGGTGATGTATACAACTGTATGAGTATCATAAGGAACATTTTTAAGAAACAGCAATGAAGCTCCCTGAAATTGATTATTACTAAGAAAAAACTGGAATAACAATAAGAGAAAAAGGTATTGGTATCCAGAAAAAGAATCTATGTCCTCTCTGGGGAATCTGAGACATCACTACAGAAGAAAGTAAGAGATACTAAGCCCCACTGTCCTCCACCCTGCTCCTTTTCTCCCCATTACATTCTAATAATGCATTGCTTTATAGAGGGGACCACAAATTATACATCGAGTCCAGTCATGCCCTCTGAACCATATTGGAATGAAGAAATTTCCCACTTTCTTCTGATCACAGCTGAAGCCCTACAGCTAGTGAGGCTGTGGTGCTCACAGGGCAAGATAAGACCTGCTGAGGCCAAGGATTTTTAAAGCAATGCAGTGGCAGTAGTTAGAATTTTACCTGGGGAAACTGCAGTTTCCTATTTGGCTCTTGTCTCACCTTGTAAGAATGCTTTGTGCTTCTCACAGCAATTACCGCTACAGTTCCAGAACCACTCGCTACTCCTCCCCACACACTGGCTAGTAAAATAGCGGTGAGCTGAAGAGTCTTGGTCTTCGCCAATCTTGAGGCATTGATCTCCCAGCCCCATTTCACATTATTAAGTTATCTCTGTCTCTTGCTTCATCCTTTTGCTGTACCCCTCTTACAGACAGTTGGGGATCTTGGCCAGATCTCTAAGAACTTTACATCCTTCCTTTTAAACATAGCAAATTTCTAGAACAAAAGATGCACATTCTATTCTTCCAGGTAGAATAATGACTTGACTCTCTGTCACAAATAACTCTGTGGAAGATCCTACACATACTCACCTCCCATGTCGCACAGATATCCCCTGTGTCAAATAATGTTTTCCCCTGTTCATCTGTTGGAAAAATCTCTTCACCTGGCTGAAACAGAAACATCGTTACAGCAATTTCATCAAGTACATGCTTCTCCTCCACAGAAAGGCATTCACATATGTTTATGTATAGGGTGCTTAACATCCATGAAGTAAGCAAAGCACATTATTCTCTTACTTTTGTTTACAAAGTGGTTTGCATGCAGAGTGGCAAAGGTATCTTCAGGTGCTTTGGTTGCTCTATTCTCTTACATTAATTATGTGTAGTATAAATAACATTTCTGCAAGTTTTAGATTGGGGAAAAGACCCACTGATTGACTTATATTACCTTGTCTTAGCCTATACTCTCCTTTAGGAAATGCATATCTTTCACTTCTACAGTCAGGTGTCACTTGCCCTTGTCTGCAGGAGTAATACATTGCAATGTTGACTAAGGCAAGATGATCACTGTCCTTTACCAACATTAATACACGTGGGTACAAAGGCAAGGTGTGTCCCAAGCATGATCAATGAAGGTTCTTGTGAACTTTGGTTTTGATGATGGAAAATACAAAGAAAACATCAACTGTTAAGATGATTGAACTGCCTTCATTTGCCCCATGTGAAGTAGGTTGGCAGAAGACACAAGCAAAGTGTAATGAATGCAATCAAGGGCTGGGTGAAGGAAGACACCTCTGAAGATGAATTTTAGCCTGTAAATCCAGCCATGGCTTGGGGCTCTTATTTTTCTAATCCAAGGAATTTATTTAAATAAGTTATACTGAGTAGTTTCTATAACTCATATAAATTGTATTTATATAAATTTATTAGAGAAGATCCATTCTGCCATTTACAGGGATGATATCAGTGCCAACAGATGCAGTTAGACAGTTTTGATGATCCAGATAACTCACCTTCAAAGGCACTGGGAAATGAATGATATAAAGGTCAACATAGTCCAAACCAAGTTTTTTCAGTGAAGTTTTCAAGCTGTCTTGGACGAGTTCTGGTCTATGGAAAGTGCACCAAAGCTGTAGAGGTTAAAAAATGGAAATGATGCTGGATTAAGAAATTACCCAAATTCATCTAATATTAAAATATTTTTGTACTGAATGGAAATTGATGATAACCCTCTGTTGAGTCTTGTCTTTCTTCTCGTCTTGTCTTCTTATATAAACTCAGTCATGTTTGGTTTTTGTTAGTCAATATATTTATTGGGCAATGGAAAGAAATTATTCAAAACCTAAAATTTCATCAAATAATGATACTATCCATTCTCTGAATTTTAGTTCATAGAGATTCCAGAGCTATTTTTATTTTAATTATCTTGTGCATTTAATTCACTGGAGAAGAATTACCCTCCTATTATTAACCTAACTGAAGGGAAACATATCTTGAACATTTTATATGTGCTCATTTCAAACCAAGACTTTAGGTTTATCTTCCTTAATATCCAAACAGCTCCTTTATACTATTCTGTGATATTGATAAAAGAAAACAATGATATCAGAATACTATGAAATTTTAAAAGTCACAAAAGATTAAAGAAAAATCATATTAGCCATACTTCTATCAAATTCCACAGCCAGGTTAATCACACTGCTTTGCATTAGAGCTCACAATAAAGGGACTTTAATGCATTGAAGGTGTTGAACTGATTATAAGTTTCTAATCTTTCCCTGTTTTTGAAAGTAGATATTATTTGTGAATTCCATGTGAAGAAAACCTGTACCACTCAGCATATTTCACCAAATTCTCACCCAAGAATATATGTTTTCTTCCTCATATAACATTTCATTAATTAGCAGCCTGCACAGTACACACAAAATACCTTTGAAGTGAGGAATATGTCTTCTCTCTTCACACGGCCTTCTGCAATCTTGCTCTTAATGGCCTGTCCCACCTCCTCTTCTACTAGGTAAGCATATGCAGTATCAATATGGCGAAATCCAGCATCTATGGCCAATTTGGTAGCTTTCAGAGTTTCAGTGTTAGGAACCTAGCCAAAGCCAGATGTAAAATTGAAAATTCATAGCACACACACTTGATAGTCACTAGACTGGAATGGTTATGCTATTCCAATGTCATCATCCTCAGACTACTTAATTGTATGATGAGGAACTAGTCCTCTGAACCTTGAATCTCAATCTTCTCCATAGACAAAAGGACATATGCAAAGGGCAGTTATTATAAGGTCACTAGGAAAAGCAATGTCCTTCAGGTCAACTTTTTCTATGTCTTCATTTAATTCTGATTTTGGAGTAATGAATCCAAACCAGTTTTGCCTGAGCTTTTCCCAGATTTTGGCACCTCAAAAATCACCTCTGACTTGGCAATCCTAATAAATCAGTGGTATCTGAAAAACTCAAGGAGCACTTCAATTTCAGCAACTGGTCCTAGGACTAACTCAATTTTCAGGACTCAGCATGCAGTTATAGTCACAAAAATTATATAATGAGGTCACGAAGTCAAATTCACATGGATGAAGCATGCATGGAGCCAGGTATAGAACAAATGCTGTGCACATTTCTGAGGCTACTTGTTGAGATACACTTAACACAGTGAATAACCCTTTACACTGAACTTTGACAGTGTATCAAAAATGCTGTCTCAGGGCTGGGGATTTAGCTCAGTGGCAAAAGTGCCTGCCTGGCAAGCGCAAGGTCATGAGTTTGGTTCCCGGTACCGGAGAAAAACAAAAACAACAAGAACAACAAAAAAATGCTGTCTCCAAGGAAAGCTCTGGAAGTATTTCCTAAGATTTTTGCAGGGATGGGTTGGGTATTTCCCCTGTGCTAGGTCACATCATGATCTTTATCCCAAAGAAAAACAGGATATACAAACTCTACCATGTGTCCTGCCACCAGCCATGATTCCCCGGACAGAAGGCCACTCAGAAACTCTACTGTTGCTGGCAGCATTTTATCTAGTGCCATCAGCTTTTCATGTTGTGAATGGTGAGAAATTAAAGTTCTTACATGCCAGATAGGGCCCAGACTGTTAACAGAGATTTGAGCAAATAGTGAGTGTCTCATTTTAACTCATCCTCAGCCATTGAATGAGGTAAGAATGGCTATCATGTCACATAGCCAGTCTTGCTGGGCAAGAAATGAATGGCTTTAAAAGTATATGTTAGAAGAATATGGACTTATGGCTAAAAAGTGGACTTCATCAGGAAACGTATTATTGATACACTTGTCCACCTTTCAAACTTGGATAGTTCTTTGGGGGTGATTGGGATTACACTGAAAATTAATATTATTGCCTTGTCTACTAATTTTTGTTATGGATCGAAAGTACAAATGACTAAATGGTCATATATATACTGAATCTATCAATTGTCCAAGATTAATTTAATTACTATATATTACAAACACATACCAATAAGAAAGAAAATTCATTTGTTATAAAGTAAAAAGGTAAATCAAACACATGCCTTTTAACTTAAGAATTTCAAAATCCTTCATCTGATGAATAAAATTACAGTAAAGGAGAGACTAAGCCCTACCATGTGTCCTGCCACCAGCCATGATTCCCCAGACAGAGGCCACTCAGAAATTTACCAGGGCTCCAGCTTTATGTGTAACTTTGATCCACTCCTGTACTTCATGCCTCTTTGCCCTAAAAGTAATCGAGTTCTACCTCATGCTGCAGAATTGCTCTTTGGATATTTCCTTATGTCTGATTAAAAGGAAAATTATGAATCCCGTATTCAGCGAGCTAGTCCCTTGTCTTACAGTGAAGTGATCTGAGGTTGATAATGGAATATAAGTTCCCTTTTGTTCAGGGAACTATCTACTTTGCTAATTTCATTTCAGAAAACAGTCTATATCTTTTTGTTTTAGGTCCAATCTACAAAATGATGAACTTATAATTCACTTATATACTTATTAGATGCTAATTTTCTGGTCATCATGTCACAATGTACTTTCAGGTTAATTTTCCACACTTGAGTGAGTGCGTTGGAAATTCTACTTACTCTAGTGTTTACTTTGAGATATTGAACACCAGCCTAAACAGAACAGCGGTCCTCCTCATTATTTATTTTATGTTTCTCATCTCTACTAACATTTGGTAAACTATTTTTCTGTATCTTGCCTTATTGGAAAAAAAATACAAGTTTCAAAACATCAAGAAAAGAATCTAATAGGCAGTTGTCTTGACCACAGATTTTCACATTCTTGCTCTATAAGGGAAATAAACTGAAATAAGGTGATAAAACAGCGCCCAGAGCAATCAGTATGTGATACCGTAATTGATTTCTGATACAAAACAAATTCAACCAATCTACTTTGTAGTATATGGAATAGTTCTAACTTGGAAAAACAGAGAACCTGGGAAATCTCCCAGAACCACGCAGACACTGACAGACCTGACCTGACAAGTCAGCTCTCTCCTCTGAGGTTAATTCCTTTTCATTTCTCTACCCCAACCTCGCCCCTCTTACCTCCTGAGGCTTGTAGGTGCCATATCCCAGGGCAGGAATGAAGTGGCCGTCACTTAGTTTCATGCACTGATGTTTGGAATCCATTGGTGGTTACTCCTCTTGCTGAGCTGATGTTGGTTTTTTCTTTTCTTTTTCCACTGCTTCCACAGGCTATTTATAACCAGAATCCCTGCAACCAGTCCTGTGCCTACTTTTAGACAAGGAACGGCTTATAATAGTTAAACAATGGCACAGCTCTGTCATTTGTCAGTGGCACTGTCTGTTTAATCTTTAGCAACTGTACTGGATGCTTAATGTTTAACCAATGCCAGGTGGGAGGGCTGAGATCAGTGTTCCACTAATGAGAGGAGAAACAGAAAAAGTTCACTACTTAATATGAAAGACAATTGTGAATTACTATTCAGTGATGAATTATTCATTTTCAGTAATTTTTTTCTGTTCCACTTTCATAAATCATTGTATATTACTGTGAGGTTGAAACAGTACTAAACCTTTGAACAGAAAACTCAGATGCCTATTTTCACATAGTTTTGTTATTTTTCTTTCTTTCATCATATTGAATCCCTTCTTTGATCACATGTCATTGTATCATACACCATACTCACAATCACACACAAAGGATGAAAAATAAATAAATGAATCTATTGCCTCAAAAGCAAAAGTTAAAAATTTAGAAATCTTGGCCTTTTCAATTTCTCATAGGCAAAATATTTTCTTTCTTTTTTTATGCTGTGTTCATAATATCCATTCCTGAAAAAAGTGCCCCAGTGACAAATGTGTATTCAAAGCAGTCATACAGCAGGCAGCTTAATTAAAATAAATGATTGTGGAAATAGTTTTCCAAATGGGAATTAAGGTTATAACTTAAGTATAACATCCACCTGCTATATAGCTTTTAGAAAACTATCAATATGAGACTGAGGATGTAGCTCAGTGGCACAAGAACCTGCCTAAAAAACTATCAATATGTAAGACACCAAAAGCAGCCAAATATTTTATATAATATATGACTTTGGTCCAATATTATCCAATGGGTAAAAAACAGAATAATCCTAATTACTATGTTTTCAGAACAGTTGATACAACTAAGACTGCTAGAATTTAGAAAGTGCTGGTAAAATATGACGCTTTGATAGTTTGATACTTGAAGTAATGAAAGGTGTAATATCTGAAGCAGAAGTTAGACCTACATACATTTAAAGTACTAAAGTAAAGGAAATGTGTAGTTATTAACAACGTTAAAAGGTCACATGATATTCATGGTACAAAGGGTAAGTATAAATGTCCTGGTCACTATTTCTAAAAGACAAAAGTCTCAGTAATTATTAAGGGTCCTATGATTCTTGGAAATAATGTTTATTCCTTTTGTAATCTTAGAAAAGTGTTTTTGAATAAAAGGGAAAACGTGTTCCGGAAATTTGGATTAGAATGGAATTTCTGGGAAGAAAGCCAGCATTTTATCTCAGACTTTTATTCAGTGCCACAGACCTCACATGACATTATTTCACTTCTTTTGACATTTTTGTTTTTAAATCTTACAATCCTAAGCCTTTAAAATTTGGATAATTGTTTCTCTTACCATTACGGTGTAGCACTTCCTGGTCATGGCCACCTTCTCTCTCCTCTCTCTGAAGTCAGAACATTTTGTCTGTTTAGGTTTAAGCCTTGCACTGTCCTCAGATGGAGATGCTTTGCTGGGACACAGGGCTAC